AGTGATTTATGATTTATTTTCAAATAAAAGTAAACATAGAAGTCATTGTATGAAATGAAAAATGTACAGAACAATTTGTAGTAATGAAACACTGATTCCATTATTATGCAACATGAAAATACAAAATTGAAAATGATTCGTTTCAACGAGTCTATTTCTACGGTATTATATAATACTCTTTTTATCTATTAAAAGTATTCAATACAAAATTTTCAATTTAAAAAAGAATTCAAGCAGTTCTACAATTTCTTCGTAACAGGTTCAATCTTACACATCTGTGAATTCGTAATGCGAAATGTATTATGTGATCTTGAAGTATAGCAAGGACTACAAGATATAAATTCTCACATTCTTCTCACTCTGCTAAATTATTTTGCTTGGATGTTTTGTTTTGATATAGGTCTCCGTCTCTATGGATTACACGCAACTCTATAATTTTATTAGGTGTAGTTATAATAATATAATTGTCACACTCACGCGCATACAGATACATACATATTGTGTATTCATAATCATCATAGAATTACGAATAGAAATACATATGCATTCAAATAACCTGCGATCTATATTGATTTATACTTGTAGTGCTCAACTAAAGCTTCAACACTTATAGTTTGAATACACTGATCAACCCTTTCGTTCCAATGGACTTACATCTATAGCATTTTTGTATTACACGAATCACTGAAATTTCATTCAAATTATATCTATGTAATATCTATATGACGAACTATAGATAACTGTGTGTCGATATAATTAAATTTTAATGATATAAATTCAAATAGAGTTATCAATAATTTTTAAGGGTGACTATAGTCATCTTTAAGAACGAAAGGGTTGAAGGTAATCAGGTTGAGATCATATTTGCTATAATGACTATGCTTGAGTCGAAGACGTTGTAGCTTTCACTACAATATAGTAAACAAATATGTAATAAAAAAAAGGTTAATAGTGACAAACCATAACACGAACTTGTTTTAAGACGTTATTTCAACAGATAGCTGACGTTATTTGTGCAGACAGTAGACAGGTTTGCTAAAAACACAGTCAAGTTGAATTAATCAACTATAAATACAATGAATACAATCATTTTTTTGTACTGAAGG